GTCCATATTATGTACATCACATGTGAAAAACAAAGTATTATCTGACCTCTGACTTTAAGCTCCACCTGTTTCTTCATCAGGGTGTTTCCCTGTCCGTTGAAGACGGTGCAGGTGTAGGTCTTTCCATCCCAGTCAGTGGGGTATGTCAGGGTCAGAATGAGGTCTCCAGTTGTCAGCGGGTTGTTAGTCATCTGTGTTCGATCTTTGTAAAACACAAACTGTTCTTCAAGGTTGCCAGGTCTGTTCTGCCATATGTGAACCTTCCTGTGTGAGCTGTCCGTCCACTCCACTTTAGCGTCTTCAGGCAGATTAACTGTGGCTTTGCAGGGCAGCTGGACAGACTGTACACCTGAATCCACCACCTCCACCTGGGGGACTGAAAAGACAACAGAGCACAATAAGCATTGCACTGAATAAGTTAAACATTTGCAGTTAAAACATGGTTGACTGATTCCTCTCTGACAGCATTGCCTTTGATGTCCAATCAGCAGCAGAGCTGGTTCCTAAAGAACTCAGTGTTATTTTAGAATAAAAGCTTTATTTGCAGTTATTGAAAGACAATGATACTGCACTTGTTATCAGAGAGGTGTCCTATGACACGAGATAAACATATCCAGACTTTCTTTGTTTTAGCTGGATCAACAAAATCTAAAGCCTGTTTTTCCTCATCAGCAGTTGCAGGTAAACTGCAGCAACAATGCGACTCAGACAGTTTCTCTATAACTGCAGGGCTTCCTGCACTGCTGTTAGTCAGATACGGATCAACAGGTTGTGGATAGAAAGCAGATTCCTTCAGCAGAGGATCCAGATCACACTTGAAGCATGTCGTCGGGAAAACCATCAGTGAAAATGGGACACTTTGAGCCAATTTGAGCCTCAAACTCTGAACATAACCTGCTGCAGACCAGCTGATGTGTTCAGCATCAGTTACCATGGTGATCTAACAAATCTAACAAATTTGGATTATATGAAATATCTGTGAGTTCTGAATATAAACACACGACTAACCTTTGACAATGAGCTCCACTTTCTTGCTCATGATTAGTCGATTTCCTTCGTGGCTGTAGACGGAGCAGGTGTAGATGTTTGTGTCTTTGTCTGTGGGGTATTTCAGGGTCAGACTGAAGTCTCCAGGTTTCAGCAGGTTCCTCTTCATCTCTGTTCGGTCTTTATAAACCTTGTCCTGTCCTCCAACCTGGTCAGACACGTGGACCTTCCTGTTGGAAATGGAATTGTCCGTCCACTCAACTTTAGCATCGTTGGGTAATCTGACCATAGCTTTGCATGGCAGTCGGACAGATTCCTCCCCTGAATCCACCACCACCTTGTAAACTGAGGGGATAACAAAGCACAACATGATGGTCACATGACCTCCCTGTGCCCTCCTTGTCTTCTAGTCTCAGTCAGATTGTGTCTCAGTTTGTTCCTGATATGTTCCTGACTCGTTCTTTGGTAACTAGTCTACAGCGTCTTGTAAAGTGCTGCAGACATGTTGGATGAAGAGCAGAAGAACAGACAGACTGAGCCTCAGCCTGGGGCTGATGAATACCATGCCTGAAAGACTACTCAGGACTTCTGGGTTTTCATCAGAAGAAGAAAGGAAGACATTTCGAAGGCTTCAAGGCAATGAGAACATGTCAAATCCACTCAACTATCAGCTCTGTCTAAGCTTTGAATTGGATCAGAGTTTAGGTTTTGTTAAAGAGAGAATCAATCTAGACTTCCTGTTTGATGTGCTGGTTTATGTAATTTACACTATAGTGTAATCACATTACCTCTGCCAGCAATGCTGTTGTGTTTAAATTCCACCAAGCCCAAAGCAGTATCAGCAGATTAAAGCAGAAACATACAATAACACTGCGTAC